TTTTGTGCTTGTGTATTTGAATAGCCTGTCACACTTCAGTGCCACACACAAATCAAAACAATTCGAAAGTTGTCACGCTTTGGCGTGCCGGTGGTATTACCAGCAAATATTTTTTTACTGCACGGAAATTACAGCAAAAAAAAAAACGGAGTATAGTATTTCGTCGTAGCTGTGTCGAACAAATCATACGCTTGGTGCATTGGAGATAAGAGGTTGTGAATATTTTAGTCGGGGGTTCTGCCTGCGACGACTATCAACGCGAGCCTGTTGCTGCTGCCCACTCTAAAGAGGTTAAGACTATTCAATAGTAATCAGTATATTGTTGATTTGTCTGCTGTTACTTTACATTACGAATCTGCGAATTGAATATTATACACGCTGCCAGAAAATATTGTCGTGTTATTAAAAATTAGGAAGCATAACCTAAAAACGGTTGTTAAACTATAGTACGTTGCGTGAACACCCTAGGAAGTACTATCTAGTGGACTAGGTCTCACAGAGTCTTAAGACAATCGAGCAGTATTGATACCTAGTTCTCTCGTAATGCTTTCTTGCTTGTTAAGGACAATGGCACGAAACAGTTCGTTCGTTATGCAGCGAATTTTCTATCGTTGCATCTACACCTTTATGCTGCGATGTCGAAGAGAAGAGTTTTATTCTATGATGCACAAAAGTTGGTGTTCGATGCTCAGGACTCATGTCCTTAAGCAGCTCTATTATAACTGATTACTGATATGAACAGGCTGGCAATCAACTAAACCCAGCAAGAGTCATTTGCCACTTATTATTGCACTGACATATTCGAAACTAAGTCCGCATCAAATCCTATACATTGCTCTAAAGAGGGTAAGGAATGCCCGTACATTTTCCGGCCGCGTGAAGGGTCCGCCTTGCGTGAACGTAATATGGCTGTTCAGTATGTATGATGTCTAATATATCCCGACACCTTGACACCGCTAGATATGTCATAACCCGAAAAAGTAGTATTTCATTTTAAATTGCATTAAGCAAAAAAATCCTAGTCTGTAAAAAGCAGTAGTTATTTCTTTTCTGGATAAAAAAAATACACTAATTTTCTATTCATTCTAGAAAACAGGGACCTATAACAGAAGACCGCAATGCAAAGACCTGGAACTTGCATTGATATTATACCAAACATGGATACATTGCTGACGTCCTGCGGCTGCGTAATACTACTCTCCGGAGCCTTGTCTCGGTTTGAAATCAAAGAGCCAGACGTGTTTGTGGTCTGTGTATTTTTTATTTACAGTCTATTCTCGAGAGAAGATTATATGCTATGGAAGCACGACAAGTAGACGATCCTCACGATATAAACAATGTGCACACATATCATAAAAGTTCGAAATGCTCAATTAATTTTATAACGGAGTACTGCTATTGGCTCTAATTACTCCATACGTAGCCTACAAGATGTTCGCTGCATTCAAGGAACCCTAAGAGAACTTGAAGAACGAAACTATTGTTTGTATCAGCATTTACAAACAAGTGCTTTTCTGTTCATGACGGCCAAACGTGCTTCTATTAGTGATTTGTAAGCAGGACCGTTTAGTTAACCTATTGATTTTACCTTCGTATCAGGCCGACAACGATCGAAAGCTCACATGGTCGCAATCAACTATCATTCAATGTTTGTTTTGAGAAAAATTGCTTATTTTTTTAAAAAAAACTTATCATGAATAATAGATACTGGGAGCACATTCTTACAAGAAGCAAACATCTTCTTATTTTATTTGAACTATATTTATTGAGCAGACACAGATAGGTTTTGACGGTTATCTGAAAACACAAACAGGTTAATTTTGATTCGAGTGAAGTCGAATAGGGGCGACATTAATTATAGCGTGTTTATGTTACTTCACGAACTGTTTGTAACGGGTCGCGGTAAAAGAAAAGGTTTTACGTAATCCATTGACATTCGCGCATTAATGTATTGTTCGCATTTAAACTTCAATCGCTTCCTATATGTAAGTTTAAAATGTCAACTTAATGAAAATTACTTCAGTTATCAAAAACCACTAAAATTCACAGACATTCTAGACGTGTATCTTATCAAGCTTTATGGTTCAAGGTCGTTTATTCGTAAGCCTGTAAAATAGATTCTTGTGCAAATCGCAGCCATTCATTTCCCTTATAAACAATCTAGATATCCAATGTTGCTCTCCACATTATGTCGGCGTGTGTATGCCAGGAGAACCGATACCAATACACGACCACCACTCTACGCAATAAATAATTCTAGTTCCTGAACGATAAACGCCATAACTGCGAGTAAACAACGAGTCCATCACGCGGAACCAAGCAATATTTTGCCAGTGCTATTTCTGAGTAAATCTATTTCTAGCTAGACTCTTTAATCGTGCCGTTTCTTAAGCTCATTGTGGGCGATAGTAATTGGCGCATTAGGCGCCCGACGCGGCGTCGGTTCCTCTGTCCCGAAGTGCGCGAAACCGAACGCCACAAACGTGTCGATCGTTTGCAAATATACGTTCACTTTTTCGTTGTCCGTGTGTGACCATCTAAGTATGTTTATAGTATGAGATCTGCGGCGTGGGGACGGATACGCTGCTGGAAGCTGCGGGAGCCGCGCGACGTTGCAGCATCAGCTATTAGCATCAGCCCCGCCGCCGCAGCTTGTGCTGCCGCCGTTCAACGGTGCAACCAGGTCAGCGGAGGGAGCCCCAACGAGCGTCAGGCGAGCTGTTTACAAATCGCGTCGTATCATCATTATCAAGATGGCCATCCCCAACATTAGCGCGGTGAGCCCATCATCATGTGCCCACTTGACGGCTAACTGCTTTTATATTTAGAATCTCTTGACAGCAACCCTCTTCGGTTAAATGAATAGGCCACAGCGAACATATGCCGACATTCCGTAGCATATCGACATGGCACGCCGACCCGACCCGACCGTGTCCTCGTCTCTCGGCCAATACGCCAGCCGATTGTGTCAATCTACTATATATATATATATGTGTGTGTGTGTGTGTCTGAAGCTGACCCGTTTAGGGTCTCCCCTGTCGATCAAAAAAAAGACGAGCGGGGGGGGAAGGGGGAGGGGCAGGTGGAAACAAAGACAGAAAGATGGGAAAGGTAAATGGAGGAAAAGTATTGTCTCCATACCGTCTACAACTCATGACCCGCTTGTTTGGCTGGTGGTTGATTTATGGTTGCTTACGGTTGACGGCCCCTTCTCGCTTCGCGTAGCCTAGAACACATCCGTCGAAGGCGCTGCGGCCGCCGCTGCCGCCGCGGCGGCTTAGGACGGGCGGCGCTGTACCCGCTAATGTTTCTGTTCCTGACGCCGATTGTATTTTCCATTACGCAACCGGAGGACATCGGCTGATGCTGATTCACCGCACCGTTCACTAACCAACCCAGTCTTGAGCTAAGTAGCAAACGTCCAAGCGCCCTCGCGGACAGAGAACGACCGACAGAGGCAGGAAAGTGTATTGGGTCGGCGCGAGACGGATCGGCGGCGGCGGCGGCCGGTAGGCGGGCTACACACTGAGCGTGGAGTGGGGCTGAGAAAAACTGTAATAAAACAGTTGTAACGTTAGGAATACTACAACAACAACAGCAACAACAATAGGAACTGCGGCCGTCGTCATGACAGGAGCCGTACACAATTTCCATTGGCCTTCTTGCCACCTTCATACAGCAACAACGACTTGTCCGCCGTCGGGACGCTGACCGAAGTATCGCGCGCAAACGCATCACACAAGCGATCACACGGCGTAGCGAAAGATTCACATGGTTTGGTGGCGCGGTCTTAACGGCGTTCGTTGGCCAAGCGCTTTTGTTAACTGCTTTGCTAGCGACTACGCCCCGCTTTTTCTAAAGATTTCTACCAAATCAAATATACTTGGAACAACAAAGGAAAAAACCGGGCTTCTATTTATGCGCTCGTCTAGCGGGTAAGCGCGAGGTGATCGGCCGGCCCTGAAGGAACCCTTCAAAGGGCCGTAGGCTGCTATAATCTAAGACATTGCAGATGAAGAATGTCCTACGAGAAAGGGACGTTTTTCGGTTTTAGCCGAACGGCCGGTTTTGCGTAGCACCCACTTTTTAAAAACCTTGAGCTGTTGGTAGAATGCTATTACTGTTGACACAGGGGGCGAATATCATGAATGAGCATTGACTTGCTAGTTGTTATTTAGGCGAAAATAAGGCGGTTTTGGTTTGTGTGATTCGATATGACGGGGGGTAAAGGTATTTCGTCTGGTCGAGACGAAACGGGGCAGCTATTTGGGTGTCAGTTGACAGGCTGTTGATGCGATCACTACCGCTAGAACCGTCGTCAAATAAGTATAGAATGAGCAGTGTATGTAAATAAACGTATTGGTAAACGTCGCTTCTTTCAGACATGTTCTATACACCGTATCCGTGCCGGATGGCAGCTGGGCGGGGCTTCGGCCTGTTGTTGGCCATTGAAGGCTCAATCGACGTTTCTCGTCATGCCGTGTCAAAATTAACACGTGCGATCCGCTGTCACCTTCTTATGAAGAAGCGCTATTATTGTGTTACGCTCGCTTTATCCCTATCTTCATTCCTGTAGTCATTCTGCATTGGTATGCCAATGCAATTCTTCGAAAGGCTGGCGACAGTAAGCAACCGGCAAACGGTCTGGCTGAGATATGATTTTCCTTAATCGTAAAATACACACGCACACTCGGAAACAAGTTAATTGATAGGTCAGCTTCGAACGTAAGTATACAATGCAGATGTGTGCGCGACATCAACCGGAACGGCGGCCTGTGTCGGCGACAATCTTCAAAGCAGGCGCAAAATTATTCAGCAGGCCAATGTAAAAGCAGCGTCGCGTAGAAGAGAAAAACCAAGAGACAAAAAGAATATTCATTATGATTACTCAAGCATAATGACGCGCCTACGATTAGTTGCGCACCGTATCTTTCACTGAAGATCGGCGTCGAATGTCTTTTGACCTAGGTACAGATAGGACATATATTGATTGAGCAGCCGGATGGCCCTAGGATTGGATGCTCTGCCAGCAATGAAAGTACAATCGTATCCGGTCCTAAGAGATCTATGTTTGTCACACGTTGGTCTGGGCCAGTCGATTCGGTAGGCGGCAGCTGTCTATGGAGACAAATCGAGATAATAGTACAAGCGATTAGATGACACAATATTATCATATCAAGCTAGACCTGCAATCTTCCCGATGTGACCATCCATTGGTGCATAGTCGCTGTTCCTAGCCGTGTCTAGAATAGGTGCGTTTGCTGTACACCGTTCTGTTTCCCATCCTATTATTATGTTCATCATCATTGTTATCTTATTCGGAGGGAAGCGATACGAGCCTCAAAAACGCAAACTAAAAAAACGTCCAGGTTTGCGTCTGTTACTCAGTTGATAAGCCTGTTGTAAGTCAGTTACGAGTCTGTCGTTGGTAGTTTGTGTGTAGCCAGGATGCTGTGGCAGTCCGCAGAAAGCGCCTGAAAATGCTGATCACGGAGGAGCACGCCAGCAGGCGCGGAAAAGCCGCGCACTCGCAGAGCAAAGCTACGCGTTCGAAATTAGATGGTTTCGCAGACAGCAGGCCATCCACTGGTATTGCCACTGCTGTACTGTGATCACGTTGATGGCACTTGCGCCGCCCCCAGCGGCACCCAACGCCCCGCCCATCCGACTCACAAAAGCGCACGCTGCAGGCAAAACCTCGACACAAAGCGACGCAACACCCTGACCAGAGCACGAACGCCTCCTTAAGACGGAACACCCAACAGGTCTCAACACCAGTTCCAGAAACAGGGGTAATGGGCCCACCAACGGCACAGCCCGTCCGTCTGTAGGAAACCTACCTCACTATCACCCTATATCAGCACCCCTCCCTATAGATGGGGCTCAGTGACAGATTTCACAGCATTACACGGGACTATCGAGTGGAAAACTACCTGCGGTCACGAACGTGCCCTATCCGTCGAATCACCAGGCGCGGCGGCCGTCTTTGTGAACGTTTGTGCAAGTTGATAGAACAACACACGGAGCACCGTTTTCTCTTGGTATTGCCGAACCGTTCCTCTTCCGCATGCTCATCGTCATCATCATCATTATTATTCTGTCTCTTGTCGTAAGCACGAAGAACTCCGTGAAACGTATTGCCCCGTTGCTAAAAGCCAAATAACGAATACGGTAGATACACTGATCGCGTTAAGTGCTTGGTTCGACGGATCAGCATCTATCAGCTCTCGAATCAGCTCTGATTAGTGGGTGACCGATTTGATCAGCTGGTGACGAAGCAGGCTATCGTTGTCAATACCGACAGTATAGCCATCAGCACTAATAACGATGAAAATGCGAGCGCTGAGCGCACTAATGTTTGCATCGCTTGCCACACAGGGGCTTGGTGAGTGTACCCGCCCGGGATTTAGAGTTGCGCCGAATACCTTTTGATGCTTGATTATTATTCGAAGGAGAATAAATTTAATTTCGAAATGTTTTAACATATAATATAAAAAAATGTCTATTGCCTGCTCCCCCCACCCTTTAGCCCTGTGATGAAAGTGGTTTAACGTGCATTATCGAGGACTGTATTTCGCACGTGCCTTTCAAATGGGTCGCATCTTTTTAGAAGTAAACAGTACGCGCTTCGCCTCTACTTGTTAGAAATCTATCACCGTTCTAACTGACTAAACTATTACGCTGTGTTTTTAAGTAAATTTCCTGTCGAAGTATAGGTACCTTACTAGAAATAATGAATGAGAATTTATATGCAAAAGCCCGCCGAGTCTTAGTAATTAAATGATTCTGAATAGTTCCAATTTTATGCCAGTACTACCCCATATAGCATAGTATTAAATAGTGTAGTTTAATAATAATCCACGGCACATACACTTTTTGAAAACAAGTCTACTTCAAATGACCGGAAACGTACTAGGCGAAACCGATTGAATTAGAAGAAATGATTCATCATTCTTCACTTGGTTTGACTTTTTGTGCCATTTAGGTAATCGGTTGCAAGATGAAAACTTGTGCCCCCAAATTAAGCGCCGACAGGAATGGGGCGCACGTCCACCCAAGAGTAAGATCTTCGTTAGAACAGTCGGTGGGTTAAATTTTCACATTTATGCGTGTCTAAAGCAGTCAAGATTATTACTGTTATTATTATTATTGATTAGTTTTTGTGTAGATCGAAACACTAACTGTTAACAGCATTACTAAGCATTTACCGTGAAAAAATTCGGGGCATTGGGAGACAAGTTTGTCACGTAGGCTTATTCTTGTCAGCTACACAAAGTTGGCAAACTAAGTCAACGTTGTTTCCATTGAAGGCCATGGTCTGTTGACTGATTTGACAATCTTATATATAAACAAGTTTTACTTGTCGAATGAAAATGAACCAAATAAGCAGGTAATGTAATCATACATCACAGCCAGGGTCCCAGCTGCGTCACGGAACACACGTGTAAAAGCATCGTACGAACAACTCAGCTACAGCACGTTCAGACAAAGGGATGGGACGATATCGGGTAAGCTTTTTATCTTACTTAAACGTACAGGGATTGTACAAGACAATAAGTATGAACAGACGGATTGACAAGTTAACTAAACCTAATAGAAGCCGACCATGCTATACTGAAACACACAGTGGGATCAGACAAATAGCCTTTTGTAAGAGTTAGTAGGACAACAGTAGTTGCAACAGCAAGAACAAAAGCTGTCTATGCCTCTCGGGTATTAGAGCTTCGCAACGTGTACATTGTCGAGAGTTTACAATAATGAAACATGTATATTTTTTTTCTTGAACAGGTACAACTTCCTTGTATCTGAAAATGGGCAGGTATTTGAAGGGCGCGGGTGGGGTGTGGAAGCCGCCGCCGCTATGGGTCTTTCTACCCGCGCTTTACATGTTGCCCTGATCGGAACGTTCAACCACCGTGCCCCGGCCGAAGGCGCTCTTAAAACTGTGGCCAAACTGATCGAGTGTGGCGTTGAATTGGTATGTTCTATGCGGAAAACGCTTCGTGTTTATCGTGACTTTATTAAAGTAACCGTTCTATTCTGTTATGAAAAATGGTCATACTTCATTTGTCTTGAGCAATGCATGACTCTTTTGGGGGCTAGCTCACGTTTTCTGTCTTCGATACCGACCAGTGTCCTTCAAGGTTAACGACACAACGGGGAATTAGTTCGTCATTGGCCGACTGAAAGACAGTTTATTTGGTCGGGTACGGGACGTCTACAGTTGAATATGAACAATCTAATCAAGCGATGCCTGTATACAGTATGCAGGCATTTATTTTTATCTTTACCCAACATTATCTTGTTTAAAAGACGGTTAAATGTATTGTTACCGTATACACACGTATTCATGCATCGATAATCAAAAACAATCGTAAATGAATCAAGATTAATATTTGTCGTTCAGTATGTATTAATAAAAAGGATGTTTCAGCTTGAATATCTACGTAGGACAAAAAGCGGCCATCTTTAAAAATTCTCTACAACACAGGCCATTTTGTTACGTCTGTAACGACTGGCGCAAGCGTTACGATCAACAGGCAAATGATGAATGAGCACACTTGAACACCGTATGCTATTTGCACTTCATGCTTCAATTTTAGATGTGATTTTGAATATGTCCCTGAAACGGCCAGCGCCCTGAAACTGGCAAAAGTGGATCATTAATTGTCACATTCGGTAAACGAGTATCATTGTAATTTACCAGGGCTCTACAATGCGCTGCTAAAAACATGGGAAAAGACAGAGCTTATTCTTTTCGAGTAGCAGAATTTCGAAAAGCCATCTATACAATCCGAACTGGCTATTTCTTTAATTACCTGTGAGGTAACTGTGATTCTTCGAAAAATCACCGGTGTCCTAGCGTCACCGTACCCACACTGAAAGTAGGATTTTGACGGGCTAGAGTCAATCTAACATGAGCCACCTCTGCACCGTCATACTCTTTTTCTTGGACAAGGGTCTGTTACTCATGAAAGCGTTCACATTGCCCCAGGCCCTTTCAGAACGATAACTCTAGTGATAATAAGTAGTTTCAATTTTTCGTCATAGAAACCTTGCAAAGAAACGTAGGCGTTGTCCCTTCTTTATAGACACACATTTCAGAAGACATAAGTCCTTAGAACTCATAGGTTCATGCATATTTTCGGCCAAAAGAAGACTACATAGTTATGATACGCGCGGGGCCCAGAACCGAAATCAGCCCGGCCTCTATAAACTGTCCTGATCTCAGGTGCGTTCGATAGCGAAGTCTACTTCACAATTATTATGACAGATTTACGCGCGTAATGGCAATCCAATTTGATACCGAAAATCGGCAAGCTTGATTAAAATGTTGAAATATATAGATTTAAATTGACGCCAATAGGTTCCCAAGGTAGTGTAGCTCATACTAAATAGAAATGATTTCATAGTCAGATCCACATGTCAGGAGATGCTTAATTCAACGACCTGTGACAGGCCTCGAATTTTTTTCTTTAATACTAACTAGTACATATACGTATAAACATCTTGTGGTACCGTGTGGAAGATTAAAAAAAAGTCATATATGCAATATATTTTTTTAAATCAATGTTTATCAAGCAGCGTCTTGGGTAATGTACATTTTCTAAAAGATCAATACATGATTTGAAACTAAGTATATTTGAATCAGCTACTACACTAACCTAGATTAATAGCTGCCCGTGTTTCTTGGCCACCTTTATTCAGGCGTCGAAGTCCAACGGGACTCGAGGATAAAAATTAAATCATATCGCCAGTGCTAGACAGGGAGAGTCTGCGATAAATTCAAGTTGAATGTTCGTTATTTTAACATCGATACATTGTTTGTTTTCCATAGGGTAAAGTACATCCGGATTACAAAATTTCCGGTCACCGTGATGTCGAACCTACAGCCTGTCCAGGACAAAAACTCTATGATCAGGTGCGAAATTGGACGAGATACGTGAAACGGCCTTGAGCCAATGAAGCCGTTTGTTATGTGCTCAAGTAACGCGAATAACTAAACGATCAGCTCCAGGAAGAGCAGCTATCACGCGCAATATAAATAATGGACTTTCGATGTATTTGCTTTAACGATAAATGTGCTTTACTGTACCCACAATGAACGCTATCACGGTTTGTTACGACACAGCGTGTTTGTCTGTAGATAGATGTAAATCTATCTACAGACATTTATATACTAGTTGTATATATACAACTTGAGCAAGAATTTGGTAAGTGATTTAAGAAGCGAAGAGTATTTCCACTTTATTAGCTGAACTATCGTACTACTCAGTGTATAGATCAGTTCCTCTATAGGTATGTTTAAACAACTGTAGCAGTTGAAAAGAGGTGACTAACGCGAGGTTTATAGAATAGCGTAAAGATATACAAATATAAAAATTAGCAGACGTAATTTATTTCGATTGTAAGATTACATCTGTATAAGCATGATAATGGGATTATATGTTGTATAATAACACTTAGCATTTATTCTCTACTGCAGAACTTTGAAAATAGGCCAATGTGAGCATCTTAAGAGGTTTAAAAGTGCACAAAAAAATGATCCCATCTTGCAATGTGTATTTATTGTATATAAAGGTGGATGTATATATATCTATAACTGCGCTCAACGCACAGCAACGCGGAGCGGTGACAAACACATTGTCATTGCATTGTATTCCGTTCGCGCTACTGCCAGATATGCGCGCAGCGACCTACTATCAATGCTCCTCTCTAAAACGGTGGCAGAATAATTATATGTACTTCGCTAATACTCTTTGTATTTAAATTATTGTCGTATATATATATTTTACTTTTAGGTACATTTCGATTAAGTAGCCATACGATGTACATGTATATCTAATTAATAAAAATGCGTTTACTTGAGTACTGTTATAGTAATTGCGTTCCGATAGAGTAACACTTTTCAAAATAAATTTTCAACCTTATGAGTAGTTTCAAGCAAGCACGTTTTTCTATTATTTCCCATTGATTTTCTTTTGCTCGTTCTGGGAAATCGATTAGCCTTATCAGGACTGACCAGTACAAGATTCAGACTTTAAGAGGCAGTCACCTTAATGCACAATAAGCTTTTGGCAAACGTAACAGCAACGATAGCTTTAATTACATTAATAGCATGGAACCAAATCGTCTTCTTTCCCAGTGCTCGGATTGCGACGATGCGAAAAGTTTTTGCTCCAAAACAGACACGTACGTAGGCGAATGGAAAAAAATAATTTTGTCTAAACTGCTGTTATTGGCGCTGGTGTATCGGCGAACGTTTTATATCTGACAATGCCACACTGTAAAGCTACGTCGGGGGGTAGGTAAGGTCGTGGACCCACAAACATCACGTCTTAGGTTTGATGTTTAGGTTTTGCGGATTTTGAGATTATTGGAGATCTTTATTTTATGCAGTGTAGTTACGTTTTATCAGCGTAATTACTATTACGGTTCTTACTCGTTACATATTCGGTCTTCATCTTACCGGTGTAAGTTTATTCCATGTTATTTGAATGTACCTTGTTTCTCACGAGTTTAATTAAACTAAAGGAAATTCTCTTGCTTCGTATAGTGAGTTAGCATATATTACGCTCAAACAACAAATTGCGCATCTTCGATCTCAGCATCCAAACACAATAACTAGAGAATTTCGAAATATTGGCGTGCAATTGGCGGAAACTAGGGGCTTATGATACCGACTTGGAAATTATACGAAATCGAAGATTAACAAGCCTTGTTGGTGTTCCGGCATAAGTGCGATGCCGTATGTCGTGTGCTGCAAGCACATAATCGGATCCGTGTCTTCTTATGCAATGTTATTCTGAAACTGATGTAGATATTAATGCTTACTTTGCCCCGTAGAAAATTGTTCAATTGTAGAAATTGTTCATCAAGTTGTAATCGACTATTTATAGCGTTTTGTCCTAGGAAGAAAAAACACAAAAATGATACGGAAAATCAAAGACACATCAGCTTTTAATAGGGTGCAACCCGTTGAAGTAACGGTAGGAAAAACCTAAACGGGATCTGTCCCGCAAAAAATAGTCATAATTAAAACAATTCCTGCAAGATATATGCTAATAAAAGTTAACCTCAGTTTCTCTATACATAAACGATTCTTCACAATCTGTAGTCTAAATATATGTCTCGTTCTAGCTCGTTTCGGGATGCATGCAACAAAAGCACGTCTTTCGCTTGAGGGTACTACATTGGATGCCTATCTTTGCTGGGTTATGCAATAGATGTCTATACATATGGATAGCAAGGCTAAAAGGTTCATTTAAGGAAGTCATCTGAGGGTATTTAGTAGATGCATGGGACAGAAGATAGCTAAACATGAGATCTTCCATTGAGCCTGTGGTGGGGACAGTGTAAGGCCACTAGGTAGAGTTTAGGACAAAACAAACGCAACTTTAAAGCCTGTACTGTTTCATGCAAAGCATGTATCAATCCCTTATCGTTTCTACGGGCTTTACCTGGGCACTCAACAGAATACTGCAATACCTTTGAAGACGACTGCATATGTATGCCATGAGAACTATTGGCATTGTAACTTGTCCAAAACAATGCGGTATCGTACATCAGATTTAAAATATTTATTAATTTAGGCTTGCAACTTACGCGCATAGAACAAGTGATTAAAATAACAATGGGCAACGTTGGCTCCTTAAACCGCCAGCAAAATTCACGTATGCCCCTCACACAGGACTAGACCTATCATAATACTTCAAAATAATTTATCATAATCAGGTAGACAACATCAAATTACGCATCTTTATCGCCTAGTCCGCCAAAAACCTAGTATCAACTCGAGGTAGTAGATACAATTAAGGATCGATGGAGTTGGCAGAGCTCCTCACGCGTTTAGATATGCTCCTTGACGCGTCGTCCAACGAAAACATAGTACCAGATTTTGTAGGTCATATCCATTTATTTGTATTGCTTATGAGCTTTGACGTATGACGGGCTTACATTTTTTGCCGTTTACGCTCCCTGCTTGCTAGAATGTGGCTATTATCCGAAGCGCATATTTTCTGGCGCATTTCCGTTTGCAGTAGAAATTGTTATTGTCAATATTTCCCAGGACTTCGAAATCATCGCGTGGACAATCTTAGCAATGATTTGTAACAGTTGAATTGGCTTGTTACAACGAAGTGGTAAAAGCAACAGAGAACCTTGCGATTGCAACATTATGCACGAGAGCGAAGACAGCTGCAAAATCACTGGCGGTCGCCATCTTGGTATTCGGTCTTTGAGCTCAATAGATAATGATATGATTACCCAGCAGGACTTGGCCTTTACCGGCGAAGAGCTACGGGCCATGCAAGATACTACAGCAGATTCCACAACTCTGAAAGGTACGCAAGAACGAATCCAACTGTATTTGTATCAACTAATTTCGAGTTCAACTGCGGGTAGCAGATGCAAAACGACACATCTGCTGAATTTAGCCAAAGGCGGCTGGTTTGAATTACGCTGTTAGATATGGCTTAGTCATGCTTTCAGCTCATGGGATTAATATTGGAAAAAGTACTGTTCTTGCTACTTTTTCATATTGATCATGTTAATATTATCCGGCGATCTTGACTGTAGTGTGACGCTAATATGTATAAAATCAATATATTCTATTGTTGAGAGCCTTCATGGACGAACGAGATCCCTCGATTTCTTGAAATTTCTCTTTACTTGACAAATTTTGTTGGCTGTATATATTTCACATATGGAGCGAACTACTAGTTCATCAGTCATAGATGTATGGGTTACTGCTTCGCTCTTGACCCTTCTGCAAAGCGTTTGTATAGCAATAAATTTGTATGTGTGCGCAATCTTCGATAGATCGAGTTTCAGTGCGCGAAAATTATCCACACCAAGGAAACTATCGTCTTGTTGGTCTTCGTGAGGGACGTTCTGGATTTTATTGGCCAGGTTTATCTATGTATTTACCGCGCTGCTGTCTACGAGGCTCATGCAGTGTACACGACTCAGCTTCGCGCAGATCAGCCTCACGTGTAATAACGCGTCAACCCACTGACAATCCAGAAATAGATTTTGGTGGACAGGCGAGAGATTCTAGAAACCGGGGGGATTTACAAAGTCACCGCGCCAGCGCTGGCGTCCTTTTGCTTACCGAGGAAAGTTCATGCGCAAGCGACAGTGGATCCCAGCGTCGCCCAAGGGTCGTAGAGTGTTATGCCAAAGGTAAGAAAATTAAAAATTCATTAGAATAAATAAAATTAAAATAGATATTTGGCAATGTGATCTTGTGTTCTTGTATCTGGTAGCTGCGACGGTAGTCAATTTTATGTGGACTAATTAAGGTTATATCCCAAAGAATCGTAGATTGTGTAATTAAAGCACCCGACTAATAGACCGATAGACTAGACGATTGTGGCGCCACCTGTATTTTCTTAAAAACGATTAACATATCCACTGCGTGAGATATTTGTTTCGGTTGTGTATGCGCCTCTCAGAGATTGAAGCTTGCCGGCGGCGTGCTTTGGGGCATCGTATGTATGCTTGCCCGCATACATTTTTATATTAGGCGAAAAATACTTCGCGGTAGCATGAGTTCCTTATTGCAGCCTGAAGCAGCCATCGTACAACTGTGCAGCGTTCTGTACTACATAATGTGACAACCTAAAGATCAAGCGCTCATTACATTTAATAATACAGGTTTGAGGTCTTCAAATGCTTAAAAGCTACTGGCGTACCACAATGCCGCATAGTTGAGACAGTCATCCTTAATCGGTTTCGTTTACGCTAACAACTTTAGGCGTACCCTGTCCTTTTAATTATGTCCGGGTATAGCCACTCTCACTTTCGATATTGTAAGCGTTTGGAGCTACCAGAACATGATCTAAACCTGGAAGACGCATAATCAGTAAGTTTGATCTCATTCGCGTGCACCTTAGACTGACTGTCGGGTCAAGACTAAAACTAGTCACCAAGCAGCGAGTGATTCTTCCATTGGTTTCATAAAATAGCACCCGTTTTCTATTTGGCTCGTTACCTTGCAATGTAAATAGTTCTTGCCAGACATATACGAATCGAAAATGTTGTCTTGGTTGAACACATACAAATTTCTGAAATATAAAATATGGAGATCAGGTACAATGAACAATCGGCAAATACTCCATCTATCAATTCTTGATATTGTTTAGTAAACCATTATGCATTATTTAATGAGCACGGTGTGATTTTCTTCAAAGCCCTCTGGAACTATCCGCGCGACTATGTAAGTTCTATTTGGAAGTTGACCTGGGTTGTTTTCTGAGCAAATTTTCTCTGATGTTGCAAAATGAATTTTAGCCAATATGGGGTCTACGTTTTTTTTAGTTTTCGTAATTGGGGGAACGTCTTTAATCCAACGTTTGTTGACGTCCCGTCGGGGACCCGAGCATATTTAAAATCTGCCGGATATGTTAAGTTCCACTCATATGTATTGTCAATCATGGCATTCATTGGTATATAACGACCCTCAATCGCATCGGTGTGCGTTGCATGAATTGTTGCCTGTCGATGGCAGTTTACCCGCTGGATGCGTCGGCCTATCCAAGAGTGTCATATTCCTCACTGTGTAGAGGTTCCGTGCATTCAATAGGACATTCACTACCGTCTGTGTTGCGAACGGTCCCGTTGCAACAAACTGGTGCTTTTTATTCTGTCGTGAGTTTCTCGGCTGAAAGGACGCGATCAAGCTTCTGCTCATCTTCTTCGCCAGTCTGTTTTGGTATTAGTGGCCTGACCCGGGGGTCAACTCGGCAGGGAACTGCTTCGCCTGGACAAAAGGCGTCGGTCCAGATACCACTCTGTCAGAGAATGCATTACTGGTAACTGCAAATTCATTGTTTGGCTTTTTTTAAACAGACGTTAGTCGAGTTTGCCTATTATGGTGGGTAACGACTGCTGAGATGATTGGAATGATTCTTTGTTCATAGAATCAGTCTCGTTATCCCTTGTAATACCTGTATCATTGATAATTTTTTTTTATATTTAAAAAAAGTTGATTGAGGACAAAGTCAGGTTTGTTCAAAGGTCACTTAAGGTCCAGTAGTAACTGACATTTGAGCAGACTTTTCAAGGAAGCTCTTCAGTACAATTTATAGTGATGGCAAATTTTCTTTTTCTGTTTTTTTTTAGTACTAGGTGACGATAGCTTCTTTCAAACGTATCTATACAAACGACGGCGTTGACTCGAAGCGCTGTTGCAGGCAACAAGCAGTTCATTGCTCGTTATAGATATATACACCGAAGAAAATTGTAGCTGTGTAGTAAAGAAGGTGGCCTCTCGGTCTTCCATTTTTTTTTGAAAATATTATGAAAACTATGAAGAAAATTATCGACGGAAATCGCTTCGCATTGGAGCAAGGTGGCAAAGAAATTTTAGGGCCACAGCCTATAATATAAAGCACAGTGTTACGAACAGTACGGTGTGCAGTACCTAAATGAGCTAAAAATTGCAAGCCTAATTTTCTCATGGACACACTGCCCTCCGCCGAAGAGTTCAGATTTGAGTTCCGTTCAATGAGTCTCCGTAAGCGGAAAAAAGCAGAGATTGTTAGCCAATCCTATTGCAAAAAAGCGGTAACGAACGGTCCACTATAGAAGCGCGTATACACAAGTTTTATAAAATATATTATTATCTAAGTTGTCCCGTACTATTATACCATCGCTAGAACGAAATTTGATTGTGCGTTATGTCGTTGAGCTTTTAACATTTTAACTCCGAGATTTATAGAATCTGAAAGTTGAAAACATATATGTAGTTTTCGAGCCCTTGGCGCCAATCTACCGCAAGCGAATAAATGACACATGAAAATTGGGGTGTTGATCTGTGTCCTGATTTTAACAGGACTGACGTTAGCATGTTCCGAGATCTCTATTAACGGTACTGCTTACGGATGCTCGAAATCTATGTGGGAGTTAGTGATTCGGAAAAAATAACTGGCAAGATGTCTTGTCTTGGCCATATGTTGGAAAAGTGACCTGGCTATTTGCGTTGTTAGCCCAAGAATTGATCTAGCTTTATTAAGAAAGCTTGAATAGTGGGTTTTGCGTTCTAAAATGCTCGACGAAATTATAACGTTGATCAAACTGTGTAATGACAATCATGTTTAAATATTATAAATCTGTTTTTGCAGAGCTTGCTTTTTTATGTAGTGTTAGTTTGGGCTTCAATTGAACATTTTTATCAGCTTCGGTCATCATCAGCGGTCCTTTTTATTCGTGTTACGCTTCGCAGAATGCGTGTCTAACCGACGTCCTCCACCGGTGCCCCGTCGCTCATGGTCGGAAGTTCACTCAGGAACCTGCACTAGCTCCACAACTACCTCCGGTTGGGACAACATGATCAAGAACCAGTTTGCGCAGTGTAGGCATAAGCTTGGCTTGCCACCGCGCATATCTCGAAGTTCTGTGAGATCTCGATGAAGTTGCGCAAATAGCGGGGAGCACAGAGCGGCAGAATCTTGAGGAAGGAAACCGGTTCGATACTTCGAAATCGACCTATTGAGAACAAAGCTGTCCAAATTAAAAATTAGTATAAGGCATCGTTCAGGGCAGTTTTATCCTTTTCCTTATGTAGGGGACGCGGCTTATCGTCAATATCAACCTTTCCGGCCGACACAGAAGAAATCCGTTTGTTTGCCTTTACATCTGTGATGACGATTCTCAGCAGGCACCATTAACAATGTTCAATGTACTAGTTGATGCTGATAATAATCAATCGCTGGTAATGTGGGCCTAAAACTAGAACACTCGATGTGTTTCTTTCGCATTGTGTCTTGATGCGCGAGGAGGGCATTGTCCTGCCGGCTCAATTGCTAAGGCACCGTAACAGGAGATTTTAAATCGCCTGTTGTACCTAAAAAGTATCTAAAAAACTCCTCCAGTTTCAGTGAAAATACCGGGTCGCCCCAAAAAACTTACCGTATAGAACAAAAGCAGAGGCTATCAAAATGTAGGTATAGTGGTTCTTATATTTGTCCAAGCAGGACAGTCAGTGGTGTCTGTGCTACCATATTAGACAGTGTTGCAAAAAATATAGGCACGTCTTCTAGCATATTGTTGAAATACCTTCAATATCTACAGTTTAAAAAGTCGCTGGTTTTAGCTTTTACATCACATTTTTTAATATATTTAAGAAAATTAATATGCTATTTTTAAAAAAGTCATTGATAGACGCTTAAGTTGGAAATGCTGTGGTAGCGTTGGCTTTGTAGGCAATTGTTCTTTCATGAGGTGTTCATAATTCACTTTATTTGAAAGGTTTTCGAAAGTTGAACACAACCATAGAACCAGGACTAATTGAACAAACTACTAGCCATGAACTTCTTTTCTAGAAAAAAGTAACTTTTATTTTTCATGTAGCATCGACATGTATGAAACTTATCTTTGTAGCAAAAACGCAGCTCTCGAAAACACATCGAATTGATTCGTTCAGAATCCTGCTGCTGAGAACTAGCCGAGAATAGATGCCATCAGAGATGGCCCCCGACCTGGAGTTTGAGATGATTCATAGATTTTAGTTCCTCAACGTATTCCTATGTAGGGCCTACCGAAACGCATAGACAGTAGTTGGGCTGTAGAGAGGCTCGGAGCTCGTAAGTCGAAATGAAGCTGCGAGCTCAGTCCCTCGTAAAATATGAAGAGTACCCAGACGAGACCCCGAAGCTCTGGCCTCATCAGTTACTGGAACGAGACGAAACAGGAAAACCTTAGTTTCTTATGAACTGGCATAACGGAACAAACAATGTAAATATGATTGATTAATAATTACTTGTACTCGAGGATGCAGCATATGATAAAGGTCTGTAGACGAGATAGGTTCGCTTGTGTTGGTGAAAAGTAGTTAAACGCTTTAGGAGCTTTGAGATAGACGTTTTGCAGTCCGTAGGATGGAAAAGTTATGAGGCGGGCCTGTTTGAGTGTATATAATTATCTCTCTCTATATTAAAACTCCAGTCTGTCGAATAATAATTATTAAACTGTAAAGAAGTGGAACCTAGTTTACTATTCAACCACAATTCGCTTGTTTCAGAGATGTTTTTTTAAACAGTAAAAAAAATCGGGTTTCTATAAACTGCATATTCACTGTTTACTCAGTGATTTTCAACAAAATCACTGTATTAAGTTATATTACATAGCTGCCCACAGTGGTTGGGGCATATCTAATACAAGATAGCACCGATGGCTAACATTAAGGGCACTAGCTCTGAACTTGCATCGTGATAAAAATTTTTAGGGTACATACATACGTGTATATGTGTTAACTTAGCTAGAACATCGATGGCGTTAGAGACATTTTGATGAGCGCATTGTCACGGTACTCATCAATACTACAGAATATAGTTGACATGACAGCTCACTCTGAGAAAATCTTTTCGGTTTGCACGAGATTATGAAAGGACCACATAACCCCAGTGTTAGCAAATACAACTCTACATTGAGGTTGTCTTTAAGATTTTATCGAAAACTATTTATTATTCCTATATTGATCAAGGGGATATGGACATATTTGGCGAACGTAACTTCTTTTATCCGAGGAGTTGTTCTTGACGATCGCGTTAGGCGCGTTTAAGCTCATAAAGCTCTTGCAATTCCCTGGAAGATGTCTCGCCGTTAGTTATAGGTTTGCTCTAGGTATTATGGTACTATCATGTACTCATATACGGGTAAAGGCTGTACGACTAGAAGGCTCAATACCCGGATTGTCGTATCCATAGCGACAAAATCTGAAGCATCGTAATCTGTTTATGGCATTTTATCAACCAGATCATCGGATCCAGTCGAATCAATCGGAAAAACCCTTATGCATCGCAAATGCGTGATTGTGGAGGTATCTATTTTGAAAAAACTTGAAAGAACCTTGTAGTGTTCTTTGGTTTCGGGTACGGTGAGCTATAGATTCAGTTCTGGATATCATCTGTCATTTTAAGGCTTATTTATTAGTATTAAAATAAGCGTAGATCTCTATCGAAAGAAAAATCTATGTAGGAAAGGGAAGCCTATCGTAGAACATCGCGTTATACTCTACATCGGATTTTCAATAAAGCCATGAATGGAATATCGGCTGGAAATTCAATTTTCTATGACGACAATGTCAGCTTGACCAAATTTTTACCCTATTCTAGACGATACTAATTTCACTATATATACTTGTATTGTAGTATCTGACGTAGCCGCAGCCTATCAATAGAAGATTTATTAGGACTAATCCCGCTCAACAAATCTCTATCTCGTTTTTTTTCTAACTAGTGCTAGTATATTTACAGGCAGTTTGAGATCTAGTAAGTGAAGCCGAATTAATTCCTATTTTTCTGTTTAAGAAAAGGTAGTTTACTACTGACACTATGGAGGATACATCCTGTATGCGAGGCTATAAAATGACTTAGAATTTTCAATACTATAAAATATTTATGGTAATTTGAAAAGCTGGCCCTGGATAAATTCAGGGACGACTGAAGGTTCCTGAATAAGGTAAAAGTTCGAAATGCAATTTACTTGTCTCTATGTAGGTATGCCACCCTTAGCAAACGCCAACAGCCGCAACAATTGCGATATTTGAATTAACAGTGGCAAATTGAAGGCCATGAAGCACAGAAGTGGCTAAGTAATTGTCAGCTCCGGAAACATTGCACTCAATGTCACCCAGTGATTTTGCGCAGCTCACAGTCAGAAAGTTCACGTGTTTGATCGGAAACGAAAGGAGAACTCTATTGTGCTCTGGCTGCAGAGCATCTAATACGACAGAGCAGTAAACTTAAAGAAAAACTGGTCGAGAAAGTCACAAAGCTGTTTTGCTTCACCCCGCTCTTAGACACCACAGATCCTTGAACTTAGAGAGCACTAGCTTCGACCGACTGGGGATTACTCTAAGCAACTTACTTGGACGTCCGGGTATAGGAGACTCAGGGGGGAGGAGTTCAGGGTCAGATTGAATGGTGAAGCATAATCCGAAAACAGTGTCATTCTAGTGTGTATGAACTGCGTATAGGTAATTTTTCATCTAATATCCTAGTAATCTACATATGGAGTTGGGGACGCATAATGCTATGTAACGTGAATTGTTTTTTACATCCCTCATACCCTTGTCTCCCTCCTTTCTTCTCTTTGCCTTGCCTGATCTGCAGAAAGAATATGTCCGATGTGGCAATGGTGGTGACGTTGTCGTGTTAATTATTCGACAATTTAAATTAGCACGCTCGTTTCTTTTACAGTCACTGATCCTGTTGACAAATTCGCAATCGGGGGAAAATTCGCACCAGGCAATGCTTCACCAACGGGCAAAACTTTTGTACTAAAATCCAACTTTGAATCTTCGCCAAAAGAATTTCTTCTGCTGAAGTCAGGCGGAGAAGTCTCTCCACTTGTGTCAAAGTTGACCGAGAGAAGGTCTGCGACGCATTTTCCACTAAAGAAGTATACCGAAATCAGCACTGCCAACACAATTTTAGCGGTAAAAGGCGAGGAAGTTGAGCCAGGATGGACTGTTCTCTCTGCGAAAGATGCGGAATTAAAGACTACAATCGCACCGCCGTCTCAAAATCCTGCGAAAGCTATGACGGAAAAGATAAGCGCCTTCTTCGACGGTCAGAAGGATAAGCAAACTAATACAGATTTACGCCTGAGCAATCAAAAGAGAATAAGGAAGTCTGAGTCGGCTGATATCGATGAGATATTCAAGCCTTCATCTGTGGATCCATCTCCGACAGCTATGAAGAAGCTCCTGTCTGTGAAATTGGTCCACACAGATACGAAAGGTAGGTCTTCACCTGTCGCCCGTTGTCACCAAGAGGAAAAAGACATGTTAAAAAACGGAGGCCTATCTTCGAAACCTGATAAGTATAGAGCTTCAACAGCGTGCCGAACCCCAAAACCCGAGATATCCAAAGTCACAGCTCAGTGTGTATCTCTGAAAGCTGAGAAAAGCGGGTCGTTGAGTACTAGTCGATTGTCAAAAGTAGAAGCAAGCCGGTCCGGACAAATAGAGTCGCCTACGAAAGTGGACGTTGTGGGTAAAGTTGTAGATACTACTACAGATACCGAACTTCGCGTTCTAGCTGGCCATGCCAATGGCACGCCTACTGTCAAAATGACAGACTTCGCACCAATTAAGACTGAGGTCACAAAGGGTGAGTGGAAATTTTATCACAATTAGGTTCTGAGAGTCACGTCAGTTGATTAAGGCAACCAACTAGTAGTCATATTTATTAGTTGTTAATGAAATTTTTGGGGCCACCAATGAAGGTGGTAACCGTAGTCCGTAAATTATTTACTAAATTAAATAAAAAAAAAAAGCCAGTGCAGAATAGTAAGGAGCAATGACTCTCAAAGACAAAATCTCACTGGCTTGATAATTCCTGTTGAAATTAACTTTGCGGAAATCTAACACATGAAATAGTTAAAAATAAAAGAAAGAAAATGGTCATCCATTCGATAGAATTTAGGCAAGCGGATACTTCAAAAACTTTCAATTTAGAATGAACCAAAAGCGAAAGAACTGCCCCGAGATAAACTACCTTATCCCTTCTGGTTAGTGAGTCAGAACTTCTCAAACTAGGCACAACGTTCTAGCTACTCATACGTATTACCCGGATTCACAGACGATTGGTATTTAGAATTGTACAATCTATGGATACCTATGGATGCACCTTCTAATTCGTGAATCCTTATCGTTTTATCCTTTAACTTTAAATAAACTTCAACAAGTTTGGCCTAATGCGTTGCTTCATTACGATAAAGATGTTCAGCGACATCTTGTTTTACAACGTGATAAGTTCCATTCTAATCTTTATAAACAGTCGTCACCATCATATCAAAAAAGTAGAAAACGTGTATTGCGATTGATATCAATCTGCTGCTCCTCGTGTCGAGTACAAACGAATGTTAATAGCCTTTAACGGTTACCTAAACAAACAGGAGCGAATGTATGATTTAACATTGAATCTATTGAATTGTACCGGCACTTAATTTTAACAATTAAGTGCTGGTACAAGCCGAGTTTTCGCTTCATGACTGCGGCATTTTTTCAAAGTGTCAATACAACTTTCCATTTTCCGTTTTCCGGGATCTTTGGTAAAGCACGTTATAACCTGTTTATTGAAAACTCAACCCGGCATTAAAATTGAATCAAAAAAAAATATTAAATTTTTTTTAATTTAATTTATTTTAAAAACTTCATCTGTGCGCGTTACTGTAGCTACGTACTTCAGGTACTTTTGGGTCAGGTGTTGTGTGAAGGCACAGGGTCATACGACCCGGTTGGATTTACATACAAACTAGATATTTTACGTCCTACACTACCGTAAAGCAATATCTCACACGGCTGAAATGAGACCGCGTAGTTGCGTCCTGTTTTAGGCCGTTGAACGTAGACCACGTGAGGTGTTCCTAGGTTTAGTGTGCTAATCGCTATCCGCAAATATACCATTTTATTTAAAAAGGAAGCTTTTTAGGTTAACGCTGTGCTGTGTCGTGCGACCTTACTTTTAATATCGCATCGCCAATTGTAGCAAAAATCATTTGTCACATTAGGCCTAAACGCTTAGTATTACAAAACTGAACGCTTGTAATCAAAGCGTTTTACCTTGCGGTTTACTGAGGTCTTTAACGCATTTAGAATCTTCTTGCGGCAAATGCATTAAGAGATTTTACGTATTTTTATTGTGATCATGTGTTATGTTGCAGCTATGAACAAGATTATCCGAAAAACTATTGGTAGTATATATAGTCTAGGTATATATAGACCTATTTAATATAGGTATAGTCCTACGTTAAATTAGTACAATATAATAACTGCAATTATTAAATTTATCTATCTTCATAACATCCGTCTTGTATACTGAGACTGAACTTTATCCTGTACATAACGCAAATCCTTTGAGTAGAGTGGTGATTATATATCGTATATCCAGATTGTACAGGTTTAGGGGCGATTTCGTTTGCAGAGAAACCCCCCTGCTGCTGAAGGGTTATACTGAGGAACCCAGACGCATAGTTAAACGGACGGGTAACTTACCGAGAACACATGCTTTAGCGTATCAACTTGCTCTACGTGTCGCTACGACCTGTTCGGTTAACAGAAGGGTAATTTTTGGGGAAGGGGCCATTTCCAGCAAATTTATCGTGTCCCCCAGACTAAATTTCGATCCAAGTAGCCGTGCCTGTAAACTGTTCTATTCAACTAGATCAAGCTATAAATATACAGCCATAGTTGGTTTTCATCGGCGGAAATTGTGCTGATACAGAATAATAACTATGAATCACTTCCCTTGCAAAATTATGGTTCTTTGAATTAATTGATTATTTGGTTAATTAAAAAAGGTAGGTGCTTACATTGTTCGAAGTCCAACGTAAATAAAAATCGACTGCCAACTATAGCTTCTTTTGGCGAACTACTAACAATGCTAACAGTAATTTTTTTACGGAACTATAGCATGAGTCAATTAGTGAAAAAAATACGACCTGTTATTTGTTTTGTCTAGTTGTTATGCTATAGATTTAGTTGATACAATTGAAAGAATATAAAAAAAACTTGTTTTTAATTTTTATAGGCAACACGGAAACTGAATAGCCGAAAACGGGGTGTACCCTATTTCTATTTTCCCTACCCTAATTCTTATTGAGTGACATAAAAATCAATGATTAATAATTGATAAGCTTAATAAATCGTCATATTTAAGATACCGTGGTATTTGTGAACGTATTTGCATGTAGCCGCCTGTGGATTGCACGTGTTGCAAGTGTCGTATATACTTGCGGAACCCTTACCTAAGAGACCTAAACTTTTTGTTAAGCTTATTTTTTCTATTTACTTGGTATTTGGAGTTATGCAGCCTCATTTGAAACTGGCCGTGTAATATCAAAGCTAACTTTCTGTGTAATACTTAGTGTATGTGTATGTTTAAGTGAAAATAAATCCCTCCGAAAAAAAAAGCAGGAAGTTTCGTAAAAGCTTCGAAGGTCCTATCAATCAGCCCGTTATATGTAATGTACGTTGAAAGTCTGCTAAAATCATGTTTGTATACATTTCATTTTTGTTCCTAGCGTACATTGTAATCTAAAAATGCAGTTAAAGACAAAAAGAGCAAAATTTTTACGCGTACGTAATATTAGCTCAGAAACCGTGGAGTTTCGGCTGACCGTCCATTCGACCGCATAATCTTCTGAACGTCTGAATGAAATCAATTCTGAAACTGAAAATTATTAACATTTTTTTATGCTTAAGAGACTACATAAACCTGCTCTTAGCTGCAGTCAGATCTAATCAGCTTCCATTAACGAATAAAGAACATGCTATTATATAGTATGGTGAAACAGCCTGTAATTCAAACGATGATAATGGTCATGATAGTGCTTCATTGGAGGATGAACCACTTCCGGGGATCGGATCGGATCGGATCGGTGTCAGGAAGTGGACTTTCCAGCAGACGAAATTACCTTTATGACTCACATAATTTAAGACGTTGGCTAGTTTTTAAATGACTTCCGAACCAGTCGCTATGCTACATTGTTCCCTGTCGATTTTGATGTCTTTCTGTCGATCCTTAACTATATTTGCTATACAGGGGGGATAGATACTATATTCACTTTCAGGTTGTGAAAAGTCAGATTTTTCTGAATTCGTTCATTCGAGTCCTCGAAATGGTCAGGCAACGCTTCCGTGTGCGTGAATCTTAGAGCTAAATAATTCGACCCTTGTGAGTACACAGACACGGCGAAGTGAGGCGAAGGCATTATAAGCTCAGAGGCAGAGCTCGTCGTCATGAGGAGTTCGTCCGACGTAATTGAGAGCCCCACAACAAGGTGTGAAAAACCTTTGTTAGAATTTTAGCTATGATAAAGCTAAATTCAGCTAGTTTAATGCCATAAATATCATAATTCATATTGAACGAAACTGTTGGGTCAATCGCAGGAGGGAACTTCTGAATTTTGGCGCTCGATTCGAATACATTTCAGACCTTTACTACATAAACACGTAAGCACTATTATTAACCATTAGATATTGTCTCACTGCTACCTGAAATGGAAGTTCCCATCGACTCCACATACTTTTAGTTGTAGTTTAGCACTTATTTGCTTCTATTTCCATTAACTTCACCAGAAGCCCGTGTCGTCTGCTGGAAAGTTATTTTTAAATAAGTTATGAAATGCAATGGCCTAAATGTATAACCTATGAATTTAAATGCGCTTTCTTCTTTATTCAAGTGCAGTTTTTTTATGGCAGCAGTGCTACGTCAGCCATGGTTAACTAATTTAAGTGCATCCTGCAGTACAAGTTGAGACAAGTCTGAACTTTAGGGGTTCGCTTGAATGAGATCTTGTTACGTGTTTGATTCAACGGTGCCGTCTAGGGAATTCATTGCAGTGTCTGATAAGTTGCCTATAATATTTTTAGTCAAAGGTACTTCATCGTCAAGCTTTATTGCCCACTAAGTATAAATTATCAAAATATTATCGTCGCGTTCTAGCGCGTCCTTTCAGGTAAAGGGTCGATTTTGAGTATCTAATGGTAAGAAAAACAGAAACAAAGGGTACGACTATATGGGGCAAGTCATATGCGACGAAATATACTGGCCTAATATGGATCGCTGATTTTTTTATAAGAACAAATTTGGGAAGCAATGGGAGCAACTATTTCCAGTAAAAGAACACTACTGTAGAGTGAATTTACTATTTGGATTTGTAACACAATGCTTAGTTTTTATAATGGATGTTTGTATTCGTACTATAATATTTTTACTGTGAGTTATGAATTGCAGTTAAATGTGCTACATTTCTATATGAAGCCGGGTAGCCTTCACTGGTCGATTTCATACATCGAGAGCTTTGCAGAGGTAGGGAAGGCGTATGTTTTTCTGTTAGCTGTTGCCTTGCTGATTCCTTTATAAGCAGATCTCACGGGGCTACAAAATTTAATGACCTATATCGCCTAAGACAGGCCTAACAGGGGACCGGTTCTCATGAATCACTGTTAACTGAAATAAGACAAGTGAACGGCAAATTCTTGCTCTATTCCTATTAAGGTCATGTGTAAGCCGTTATGTGAGCACTGTTCCTAACGTCCGCTATGAATCAATTTAAGGGTTGTTTAGGTGGGTAAGCAACACCACTGTGGCCTTAGTCTGAGTCA